TATTTTTGTTGACGGAGTCTCTGTTATCTTTTTATTTGGTTTTTTAAGAGTTAGTTTTATCTTATCCTATCAACCACTTGACATTTTTTTCTGCAGTGACTAATCTCCTCGCTACGTTGGAGGCACCTCAAAGGGTGGGATAGCTGGCCCCAAGATTTAACGCGGCTGCATACACAAGGCAGGATTCGAACCCCTGACCTTGCTTAAGCGTGGATCAACCCCTACCGCTGAACCACACGCTTGGGGTTACAACCACTTGACATAGTCTAAAGTAATTTTGAAAAATAATTTTTTCATTATAAATAGAACATACACAAGATTTTGAACATATTTCACACACATCTCCTTTTTATTATTTGTTATATCTTGAAGGACTTATACATCATGTAGAAAAGTTTTTAAGGATAGTACTATCACACATTTCAAGTTATTTACTTTGTAATTATAAAGTTTTAGATAAGAAGGAGGACTCTTGTTAATGATTGATTGTGAAGATGGATAGTAATGTATATTTTAATATTCAATTAGGGATTGTTTTTTTTGCTAATATGTTCAATTAGAATTAATTAAATAAAACATTAACCTGCATTTTAATAATTTCATGAGATATAATTGTTATTAGGTCTTCCCTTTTAACTAATTATATCATAAAATTATATGTGTGCTGTATACATAGATATGGTAAATATACTCTTATTTCCTTACTTTATGTATAAATATACTCTTAATTTATATATCTTTATTTTTGAATCGTTAAAAGAACAAGTTTAGCATTTTTTTTTTTTAGAATAATTTGATAATCTTCACATATATCTCATTCTTACTTAATTAGCTGCATTTTGTAACGTCACTATGCTAGCTTAGTAGTTATGGTAGTTAATTAGAAGGAAAAAGATCTAGATTAGATCTTCATCACAACCATCTTTATAATATTTTTTTTTTATTTTTTAAAAAAGTTACATTACACAAATCTTCATTTTAATTATAACATGTTTTAATCAAGAAATTTCATATTATATTAAATTAATATTTATTCTTTTTAATTATTTATGCAATTAAAAGAGATATTTATTACATTTTGACATATACTCAAATTTCTTTATATTAATCATAGAGAGGTGAAAATGTACTTTTAAATCACTATTAGAGCATCACTAATATAAAAATAAGACTTGAGTTATTTTAACACAATTTTAGTGGTCCCTAAAATGCCACCTAATAAGAATTCTAACCAATTTTTTTTTCCATCATACAACTCTCACGAAAACTCAAATTTTTTATTATCATAATTTAAAATATTAATTAATTTATATTTTAATTTTCATGTTTAAATTTATTTTTATTTTAAAAAAATCTAAACATCATGCTTTTCCATTTCCATTTTCATGAATTGTTTTAGGTGTAAATATTATTTTAATCTATATAAAATAAACGAATTTTAGTTTTAATCACTATAAAAAGTTATTTATTTATCATTGTAAATGCCCAATTTTGTCCCATTCTCTTTTCATTTCTTTTTTAATAAATTAATCACATGTTAATACATTTTTTTCTTTCTTATTCAACATTCAAATTAAAAGTGAAAGGCTCAAACTCAACTCTCTTTAGAAGGATAAAAATTGTGCCAAATGTCAATTATTATTGTGTAAAATTATCTTGATAAAATTAAAATAAATTAATATTGTATGACACAATTTAAAAAGGAAGCATAACTTAGTGTCTCACACAACTCCAAATCATGATAATAAGATAATTAAATGTTTTTCACAAGATAAATAAGGAAATAATATCTACTTATAATTAAAATCAGAAACATTTATTTATTTGCGTACGACATGCATAGTCTCGAAGTCTCTGCACGTCGCCTTGCTCTAAAAATCTTCACAGGCCAGCCTTCAAGCGCTTGCCAAACTTAATTAAGATGACTGATCATACTGTTGAGCCCACCCCCACTACAATGAAATCACGCAAGATGAAAAATTACAATAATCACATGAAAGCAATAGAAAAGAGACCACCACGAGGGGAAAAGGGGACTTTGGGGAAAACTCATTGCTTCTCTTCACAATCTTCATTCACAAGGATTGGGTCTCGTTGGATATTTTCTCACAAATAGAGTTCGTGCCATACGGGTACAATTTCTTCTTTCTTGTTCATGCTGATTTGGTGGAACTTTTAAACCTTTATGTTCTTTATTTTATGAGTCTATGATTGGTAGAAAATCATCTCTTGCTGTACGTGGTTTCCCTTCCATGCATGATTTCTTTTATTTCTCCTTAACATTATCAATTAATGCCTAAGCCATATGAGTTATTGTCACGTTTTCATTCATTTTAACTTTATTGTTATTTACTATTTTGATATTTCTTCTTACTGGCTCCCCAACATGAATGATGTACAAATTATTTTGTCTTTCATTTGATATTCTACAAATATGTGTTATTATATATAATATTTATTCGATTTCGATTATTCCATTCCATGTGTTTGGAATCGTGTTTGTTATGCACCGGGGGTTATGACACACATACACATATCTCCACATTGGTAAGATATTGCCCGTTTTAGGCTCAGCCGTCACGGTTTTGCTTTTGGTTACCACCCAAAAGACCTATTTCCCAATGAAGACAATTGTGTGTATATAAATCCATGTCCATCCTCTTGTTTGAATGATGTGGAACTTTGTTTGCATCCCAACAATCCTCCTTTCAAACAAAGGACCATGGTTCTACCCCCTTTTCTAGTGAAAGCCATCAGTTCACGAGTATATTCGATGGTAGCCCATAGATCTCAATCACGCTCTAAGTACTTGAGCCGCCGCTCCATTGTGAACAAGACACGCCTCTTAACCCTCGATGTTACTAGGAAGACTCTCTTCCACATGGACCCACCGTTAGGAAGACTTTTGACACAAGGGATCCCAAACTTGGATCCACCTGACAACTCCGTCATACTCATTGGAGTCGATCAACTGATCAGACTATCGGTTCTGATACCAGTTGTTGGGGATCCCAAACGCACTCACACGCACAATTGCAAGAGACAAAGTAAATTAACAAGACACAGAGATTTACGTGATTCGGTCAGAATAACTTACGTCTACGGCTGCACTAGATGATATTTTCTATTTCATAATTAGGTTTACGATTACATGAATATTTATAAAAAAGAAAGAAAGCAAATGCATCAAGCCCAATAAACCCTCCAGACTCCACATATTCAACAACTTGTGAGGATGTCTTTAAAGATCATCATGGTGCGTTCCTTGGAGGTTTTTCTTCATACATTGGCATTCATTATGCTCTACTTGCCGAACTTCTAGCAGCTATGATGGCCATATCAAAGGCTTACGACTGAGGTTGCCATAATATTTGGCAAGAATGTGACTATAAATTGGTTATTATTGGCTTTATTATCTAATGAGAACGTGGTCCTCTTGGAACTGTGGAGTAGTTGGAAACACACCCTCAGCCTTACTTCTAAAATGCCATTCTTTCCCTCTCACATTTTTCGGAAAGAAAATGTTTGTGCGGATATACTATAGCTTCCCATGGTCTAACAGAATATCATACACTTGGTGGGATAATTATCTCCCACGCTTTTGTAGTGAGACTTTTTTTTTTTTTTTTTTTTTTT